AGACGAGGGAATACTCCCAAACTCATTGTATAAAGCCAGCATCACTCTAACACTAAAACCAGGCAAAGACCCGACCAAAAAAAGAAAATTACAGACCAATATCCCTGATGAACATAAATGCAAAAATACTCAACAAAATATTAGCAAACCAAATTCAAAAATACATCAAGAGGATCATACACTATGATCAAGTGGGATTCATCCCAGGGATGCAAGGATGGTACAACATTAGAAAATACATCAACAATATTCACCACATCAACAAAAAGAAGGACAAAATCACATGATCATCTCCATAGACACTGAAAAAGCATTCAACAAAATTCAACATCCATTCATGATAAAAACTCTCAACACAATGGGTATAGAGGGCAAGTACCTCAACATAACAAAGGCCATAAATGATAAACTCACAGCCAACATCATACTTAACAGCGAAAAGCTGAAAGCTTTTCCTCTAAGATCAGGAACAAGACAGGGATGCCCACTCTCCCCACTGTTATTCAACATAGTACTGGAGGTCCTCGCCATGGCAATCAGACAAAACAAAGAAATACAAGGAATCCAGATTGGTAAAGGAAAAGTTAAACTTTCACTACTTGCAGATGACATGATATTGTACATAAAAAACCCCAAAGAATCCACTCCAAAACTACTAGAACTAATATATGAATTCAGCAAAGTTGCAGGATAAAAAATTAATACACACAAATCTGTTGCTTTCTTATATGCTAAGGATGAACTAGCAGAAAGAGTAATCAGGAAAAGAATTGCATTCACAATTGCCTCAAAAAGAATAAAATACCTAGGAATAAGCCTAACCAAGGAAGTGAAAGACCTATACCCTGAAAACTACAAGGCACTCTTAAGAGAAATTAAAGAGGACACTAAAAATGTAAACTCACTCACACTCTTCACTAGGAAGAATTAATATTGTCAAAATGGCCATCCTGCCTAAAGCAATCTACAGACTCAAAGCAATCCCTACCAAAATACCAATAGCATTCTTGAGTGAACTGGAACAAATAGTTCTAAAATTCATATGGAACCACCAAAGACCCCAAATAGCCAAAGCAATCCTGAGAAGGAAAAATAAAGTGGGGGGAATCTCGCTTCCAAACTTCAAGCTCTACTACAAAGCCACAGTAATCAAGACAATTTGGTGCTGGCACAAGAACAGACCCACAGACCAGTGGAACAGAACAGGGACCCCAGATATTAACCCAAACATGTATGGTCAATTAATATACGATAAGGGAGTAATGGACATACAATGGGGAAATGACAGCCTCTTTAACAGCTGGTGTTGGCAAATCTGGACAGCTACATGTAAGAGAATGAAACAGGATCACTGTCTTATCCCATACACAAAAGTAAATTCGAAATGGTTTAAAGACCTGAATGTATGTCACGAAACCATAAAACTCTTAGAAAAAACATAGACAAAAATCTCTTGGACATAAACATGAGTGACTTCTTCATTAACATATCTCCCCGGGCAAGGGAAACAAAAGCAAAAAATGAACAAGTGGGACTATTTCAAGCTGAAAAGCTTCTGTACAGCAAAGGACACCATCAGCAGAACGAAAAGGCCTCCTAAGTATGGGAGAATATATTCATAAATGACAGATCCTATAAAGGGTTGACATCCAAAATATATAAAGAGCTCACACACCTTAACAAACATAAAGCAAATAATCCAATTAAAAAATGGGCAGAGGAGCTGAACAGACAGTTCTCCAAAGAAGAAATTCAGATGGCTAACAGACACATGAAAAGATGCTCCACATCGCTAATCATCAGAGAAATGCAAATTAAAACCACAATGAGATATCACCTCACACCAGTAAGGATCACCACCATCCAAAAGACAAACAACAACAAATGTTGGCGAGGTTGTGCAGAAAGGGGAACCCTCTTAAACTGCTGGTGGGAATGTAACTTAGTTCAACCATTGTGAAAAGCAGTATGGAGGTTCCTCAAAAAGCTCAAAACAGAAATACTCTTTGACCAAGGAATTCTACTTCTAGGAATTTACCCAAAAAACGCAGCACTCCAGTTTGAAAAAGACATATGCACCCCTATGTTTATCACAGCACTGTTTACAATAGCCAAGAAATGGAAGCATCCAAAGTGTGCATTGGTAGATGAATGGATAAAGAAGATGTGGCACATATATACAATGGAATATTATTCAGCCATAAGAAGAAAACAAATCCTACCATTTGCAACAACGTGGATGGAGCTAGAGGGTATTATGCTCAGTGCAATAAGCCAGGTGGAGAAAGACAAGTGCCAAATGATTTCACTCACATGTGGAGTATAAGAACACAGAAAAAACTGAAGGAACAAAACAGCAGCAGAATCACAGAACCCAAGAATGGACTAACAGTTGCCAAAGGGGAAGGGACTGGGGAGGATGGGTGGGAAGGGAGGAATACAGGGAGAGGAAAAAAGAAAGGGGGCATTATGATTAGCATGTGTAATATGGGGGCAGGTACAGGGAGGGCTGTGCAACACAGAAGACAAGTAGTGATTCTACAGTATCTTACTATGCTGATGGACATTGGCTGTAATGGGGTTTGTCAGGGGGACTTGGTGATGGGGGGAGTCTAGTATACATAATGTTCCTCATGTAATTGTAGATTAATGATACCAGAAAAAAAAATTCCTTATAATAATAAAGGACTATATATGTAGAAGTACGTAGAACTTTCAAAGTACAGAAAATTTAGTTTATCACTGTCATTTTACCCCAGATCATCTGAAAAGAATTTCTCATTATGTCATTTATGTAAAATGTAAAATAAAAAGTAATATTATCTTCTTAAAATTTAACATTTTTTAAATCTTCAGAAAAGTCTTTAAAAAATATCTTTAGTAAAATCAGAAACTAAAATCTCACATTGTGAACATTAAAGATTCACATTTACCATTATGAAAATTTACAATGATAATTATCTTCTCTGAAGCTTTTATAATTATAAATTTTCTTATTGTGCGTACAGTTAACTTTTGTGTGTCAACTTAGAGGCAAGGACCATGTTTTGAATTGTTTTGTATAATGCTCTGAACATACCACACTTTGAATTATATAAGAAGTCATTTAAAAGATATGACATGAAACACCAAAAGATCTTTAGTTTTATGAGTTGTACAGAGGTATAATTTACATGTTTAATGAAATATACCAATTTTAGGCCAACCATTTCCATCACCTCAAAATGTTCCCTTGGTGCACCCCTTTGCAGTCAATTGCCTTCTCCCATTTTCAGTTCTTGGCAATCACTGGGCTACTGTCTGTATAATTTGTGTTTTCTAGAATTTCGTATAAACAGAAGCAAGGGTATGTAGTATTTTGTGTCTGGCTTTTATACTTAGCATAGCACTTTGCATCAGTGTAGTAATAATTCTTTTTTTTTTTGAATTGCTGAATAGTGACCCATTATGGAGACATACTATAATTTACTTATCCTTTTACCTACTGATACGTTTGGAATTTTGTGTTGTGCTATTATGAATATTGTAGCTATGAACAACAGTATACAAATCTTTATAAAAACTTATGTTTTCATTTCTCTTGTGTAAATATCTGGGGATAGAATTTTTGAATTACATGTTAAGTCTATCTTTAACCTTAAAGATATTAGCAAACTGTTTTCCAATGTTGGTATACTAGTTTGCATTTTCACCAGCAATGTATGAGATCTATAGGTGTTCTCACTTGCTACCACTTTGTGGTCTCATTTTTAAACACTGGAGTTATTCTTGAGGGTATAGAATAATTCACTATGGTTTTAATTTGCATTTCACTGATGACTATTTTTTCATGTGCTTATTTGCCATTTGTAGATGTTCTTTGGCAGAAGTATCTATTCAAATATTTTGCCTTTTCTTTTTAATTAGGTTGTCTTAATTATACTACTTATAGTATACTACTTATAGCTATACTACTTATAGCTAATACATATTATATATTCTTGATAAGTCCTTTATCACGTACATATTTTACAAAACACTGTGTCTTGCCTTTCATCTTCTTCAGTGTCTTCTGAAAAGGAAAAATACTTAACATTGCTGAAATTGATTCTATCAGTTTTTTTATGGTTCATGATTTTGTGACCATCCAGGAAATTTTTCTTTTTTAACAAAGTTGTGGCAATTTTCTAAAATAATTGAATCTATCAGTTATCATATTTTTATTAAAGTGTTATGAAAGTGGCTAATTACAAAAGCCTATTAAATAAAAACCAGACATTAAAAAAATCAGGAATAAATCTTTAAAGAGATATAAGGAGAAATAGATTAGTACATTTCTTTTGTATTTGTTTCTTTTCCTAAAGAGAAGCATTATGCTTATTTTTAAACCTGAGTTAACTTAAATGATACATACACAAGGGGTATGTTCAATGCAAGTTTTATAATTTTCAGGTTACCCCTTTAAAGGGAAATGGGAAATGGTACTTTTCCTTTTTCCCTCATTCTGGGATACAGAAGTGATGATGGATGAGTCATCCTCAACAATGTGGAAAAGGATAGCACATTAAGGAGAGCAAATAATAAGACAATAGAAAAATGAGTTTTGAACCCCATGGAACCCTCATACTTTCCTAGCACCAATTTAAACCACTATAATAGTAGGTCTTAGTTGCAGCAACTATTCCAACAAACTGGTACCCCACTGAATACATTTCAATGAAATGATGTACTTAAGCCAATTAGCATGGTGCAAGACACAGCGTAAACATGATACTATTAGCTATTATACTATAGTACAAATTTAGAGATTCTCTTAAGAGAAAAATTCACAAAGTAGTATTTTCTACAAGCTCAGCAATTTTTGAATACATAATTCAATTATGTTGTTACCTTCTGGTAGAGTCTAAGTAAGCAGGATAGTTGAATGACAATATTAATATAGTTCAACTACTACTTTTTAAAATGTGAATTATTATATTTGGTAATATAATGGGAAAAGTAAAGTACGATGAAATTCTTACCATGGAAAAGTATTCATTCGTACCCTGTTCTTATAAATCAGAATTCCTCCTGACATCACTCCAATCATAATTTCATTGTTACTTTGATCCTTCAAAAAAAAGAAAATGACAAATCTAAAATACCAGGTTTTAGTTGTTAAAAATGTATTTCAAAAATAGGATTAGGTTCTGTTTTTTTTTTAACCCAATGAGACATTTTCAAAGGCAGCACATAACTGCATAATACTTACAAACTCATATGGTAACTGTTACCTCATAAAAATAAAGGAAATCAAACTTAAACATTGGTTAAAAATCACTAATCTACAGAAAATATGATCTCAGGATTTTCCATTTATTGCTAGGACTGACTCATTGCGACAGGAAATCAAAGGCCTTCTCAACCTGTAGAATGATGAGCTAGTATCCATCCTTGTATTTCTAAAACTATTCTGATCCAATCACTGTGTAAATATGGTGCCAGAATTGCAAAAGTGAATAAAACAGAGAGGAGTTTAGAGTCTGGTGAAGCGCAATCTGTAATAAAACAGTTATTTTCAATATAACGAGATAACTAATGAGATTCATTTTAAATGAGATATCATTTAAAAGATATGACATGAAACACGAAAAGATCTTTAGTTTTATGAGTTGTACAGAGGTATAATTTACATGTTTAATGAAATATACCAATTTCAGGCCAACCATTTCCATCACCTATATAACTAACATATATAACTAACATATATAACTAACATAATAAAATAAAAACACCATGGGAGTGGGGGGACAATTGTTGAAGTTTGGAAGACTCCAGAGAAGAAAATTTGTATTGTACTTTAATGAATGAGTTTTCATGTTAACTGATCCAACTAACCTGCACAATTGAGAAAAATGAGTAGAGTTAAAATACTTTTCTCAATGTTAATCAATTTTGAAATAGTTTTACTTCTTGACTTAAAACATTCTACAGGCAAACTAGTATCTATAATGCCTTTACCCACTACTATTAATTGATAGACTTAATTGATGAAAATATAATTAAAAGTTTATAATTGTCTCCTTGGGAAAAATCCTAAAAAATGTAGTTTCAATAATTTTAATTAAATAAAGTCTTATCAAATTAATCTGTTAGGTAGGATACTACATAATAAATGGCCAAACACAGCAGTGTATGTTAATTTGTCTGACTGCTCAAATAACCAAAACTACTGTCCACTATTACCAGTCTTGAACCTTTTTCTAAAGGACAATCGTAAGTTTGGACCTAGAAGGCAGACTGAGGCTAAAAGATGGAAGCCTTAATATATACTCCTATTGCTCTGTCTGCTCCCAATCTCATAACATCAGAGAACATAAATAAAAACAGAAAGAATCTACAACACTTGAAAACAACACATAACACTTGAAGGTATGTAATCAATAGACTAGATACTTTGAGATATCTATAAAGACATAAAAGGATAAAATGAGATTTAGGGAGAGAAAAAAAATTACAGAAAACCACAGCCCAAATTACACATGAAAGAGAAAGTTCTACGTGGAGGCTGAAAGAGAAGAAGCAGAGCCAACAGATTCAAGTTCAGAGACAACGGATAAAAGAAATAAAGGAAGTCCTCAAATTACTGTCAGGATGATCAGGTAAAGAACTAAATTAGCTCCTCCTAGCCCAGCAATCCTGACCCATCTGCAATGAGCTATAGACACAGAACTGTGTGCAGACTGTCTAAAATAGCAAGAGTGGGTACTGAGAACAGGAATTAAAGTGAAACCAAGAAGGGATGGAGAGCCCCAAACTGAAAATGGCAAACAATAGGCATGTTGTACTGAGCAATATATTTCTTCCCTCTCCAACATCATCTAAAGCAGACTACAGTGAAGACAAACAGCATCCACAACCAAGAGAACGATGAATCACAAACACAAAAGAAGTACACAAAAAAGGATCACCAAGCACTTGAGAAAAACTAATACTTTTAAAAGACATACACAAAACTGTATAAATAGGGAAATCAATCAAGCTGCAATTTTAGTAGAAAAACATGTTTAAAAATCACCAGGATCAGCACTATCTAGGAACTCAAGTTCTTAATTTACTGACTATGTGTCATTCCCCAATATGCTGCCAGATGTAGGCAAGACAAAAATAACAAAAAAACCCATTATGTCCTTCATGGACACAAATGCTATTAATTCTAATGTACAGAAAAATGCACACTGACGATCTTGCTTTAAAATATCTTACTTTATTCTTCTTTACTACCTATATTATGCTAAAAATTGACTTGTTTAATCTGTTTATTTTTTCCCTTCTTCACAAGAACCCAAGTGGCAGAGTGTAGGGCCTTTGTTTTCCCCACTATTTGGTTCTTAGGTGTAGATAAGTGCCTTGCCTTGTACTCACTTGTGAAATGAATGGATCTCTATCATCTGTAGGAAAATGTCTTAGTTGTTTAGCTTAGCATTGAAGGCCTTTAAATACCATCCCATGACATTTCATTTCCCCTTCTAACTAGTGGAAACCTTCTGCTTTTCTTCAGATCAGTTCCATGTGTTTGGGGTGCCCATAATTACATGTTTGTTAATGCTATTGTCATGCCTTGTTCATACATCTCTGATTAATCAAATTTAACCAAACCAAAATTTAGATCAAATTCATCTTCTCTGTGAAAATTTCAATAGCCACATCTACAAGTTCCTCTCAGATACATACCTCTTTAACCACTTACTGAAATGCCTAATTACTGCCACCTATGCAATAATGTCTGGGATCATGTATAAAAGTGACTACCTGTATTAAATTATCTGTGGTAAAGCACCAGTTATGTTTGTTTTGTTTAAATTTACAATCTACCATATAATTAATACTTTCATAAAATTCATTGATCACTCACTTGATGTCAGATTGCTATAAGTTTCTCAATGCTAACTCTTAATTTCTGTATTTATGTAATTTTGGATAGTAACAAATAGTTCATGGATCAGAATCTATTTGTGGTCATACTTTGGCCAACTCTGAGCATCAATGAACCACTATGTTATTTCACATTCCCCCACATACCTAGTTCTTAAGTATCTCTTAATTGACCTACTATGTTAATACACCCACATGTAGCAGACATAATACTATTCATACTGTATTTCATATAATTTCCAATTATAAAGAACTTGTGATAAGCTTTTAGATATGCATCTTTAATTATAGAATTATATATATTTATTAAAAATGAACTAGTTAAATGACTAAAATGGAGATTATAGTATGAAGCAGCAATATGATTTGACAATGAAAATATAGAGCAACCATAAAAAAACTCAGGGGAAAAGAAAACTATAAAAAAATTTCTCAACAGTTTATAATTACTGTTCTAAGTGTAATATGGGGTAAAAACAATTAACTATGGGATATTCGACTTCTGGAATCCCATGAGTCCTCCAAGAATCAAAATGTTCTGTGTATCTCAATTTAGATACGTGGTAAAGAAACAGAGATTCCACATCTATACCCTTAAATCGCCTAGAAACAATGACCAAACCAATAATAGGAATGAGCATTCTTAATATGCACGCTGAGATTTTGGAATATCATTTTCCATTAAAAGAAACCAGGGCTTCTTGAAGAAAAAACTGATTCCAGGTATACGGCGGAAAACAAACAAGATGACCCTGAAACACTTTACAATAGACAGGATGGAAACTACAAAGGGAATGCAAAATGACTGAACAAAAAAAGGTACTCCCAGTGGTCAGAGATGGGGCAGTTTGAGCTGAAATAAGGAAAAGAATTACAATATAGTAAAAGCTATCAAAACTGCTTAACCCAGCTTTTCCTTTAAGATCGGTAACAAGACAAGGATGCCCACGCTCTCCACTGTTATTCAACATAGTTCTAGAGATTCTAGCCACGGCAATCAGACAACACAAAGAAATAAAAGGCATTCAGATTGGTAAAGAAGAAGTAAACTGTCCCTGTTTGCAGATGACACGATATTGTACATAAAAAACCCTAAAGAATCCACTCAAAAACTACTAGAACTAATATCTGAATTCAGCAAAGTTGCAGGATACAAAATAAATAAACAGAAATCTGTTGTATTCATATACACTAAAGATGAACTAGCAGTAGGAGAAATCAGGAAGACGATTCCATCAAAAAGCATTAAAAAACCTAGGAATAAACCTAACCAAGGAAGTGAAAGACCTATACCCTGAAAACTACAAGACACTCTTAAGAAAAATTAGAGAGGACACTAACAAATGGAAACTCATCCCATACTCTTGAGTAGAAAGAAATAATATTGTCAAAATGGACATCCTGAAAGGGGAGGGTGGGCTGCACAACACAGAGAGGACAAGTAGGGATTCTACAACATTTTGCTAAGCTGATGGACAGTAACCGTAACGTGGTTGTTAGGGGGGACCTGATATAGGGGAGAGCATAGTAAACATAGTATTCTTCATATAAGTGTAGATTAAAGATTAAAAAAAAAGAAAGAAAGAAAGAAAAGGGGGATTACTCCTTGATAGGATAAAACTATTGGTAAATCAAAGATCAACGCATGCTTTAAATATCCTTAATGTTGCTCACTTAAAGGGTGTCAGATGATCAGCTATGGAGGTACTCTTTTCTGATAATATTCCTTTCTCTTAATAAAATAAATAAATAAATAAATAAATAAAGCAGTTCCTGTGTGCTGACCTCCAATGAGTTCTACACAGTGGTATAGAGGGCATGTCAAAGTGTGGGCAAAGGGTCTGTTTGTTTTTATGCAGAAGATCAAGGCCTAGCTTGGCTACCCAGAAAATGAACTAAGATACGATATGAGGAGGAGCTTCCGGCATCAGCACTCTCTGGAGGACTCGTGCCGGGGGATGATCATCAAAAAGCCTCCACAGGGATCCGGACGATGCTGCGGTTGTGGCTGCATCCAGCCCACCGTCTCCTGGACTTGCCATAAGAAGGAGGAGGGAGATGTCTAGGCTGGCATGTGCATACAGTGAGACAACGAATTTGACTGGATCTGTACTGTTGGAACTCAACCAGGAGTTGGGAGGGGTGCAAGTTGTAGCACCCCAAAATCTCATGACTATAGACTATCTATGGTTAAAA